AAAAAAAAAATAAAATAAAATAAAACGAATCGGGAGAACTAGGATACACATCATGCAGGGCATGCATAGGGTAAATGAGGATCTACGTGCCAATGTGAACATGACCCGAGCGACTCTTGAAACTTGAAAGGGAGATTGGGAGCAAATACCTATGATTATTTTTAACACTTCACTTACACAACTCATTACTTTAAATAACTTAAGGAAAGTATTTGAGTTCCTTCATGGATGAATGAGCTATCTTCCGTTAGGAATAAAAGAGGCGATACTGGCCTCTTCAGGCTGGATTCTGTCAACCCTCTCTGTACCAAACATGTCTCTGGTTGTTACTGTCGAGGCAAGATTACAAGGCGTGGTGGCTGGGCGTTCAGTACTGGTCTCACACTGCAGCTGCTAAGTGCTAGGCTTCCTGCACGCCCCCTGTTTGCTAATGAATCCATAATTAGCCGTCCACGGAATCTCTTGGGGAAGAGGTAGAGCTCTTAAAATCTGGTTTACATAATAATTAAATAGCACCATGGAACTAATATATTCATTTGGAAATAAGTATCCCCAAAGCTGAAAGGTGAGGAAGAAGCCTAAAGGGAAAATTAAGTATGCATTAATAAAAGAAAAACAAAAAACCAATTCTTTGAAGTCCCATAAATACTGCTTTTCTTCCGTATGCTTCAGATAGGTTCTGAAGACAGGGTGTCTAGGTTGGACACGCTTAAATATTTTGAATCACAGGCAGCCAATGTGAAGACAAGTGATTACTGAAATGTTCTTAAGAACAGGGTAATCTGTATAGCATTTAACTATAAGTTTCACGCACTAAAAGGTGATACCGACAACCAAGTGAAGAAAGTTGCTTAAATACTGTAGATGCCAATAAAGGAAGCAATGATTACAACAGAGTAGCTTCAGAACTTTATTTCCTTTTAGGATAGACAATAATTTTTCCTTTTGAATATTTGGCATAGAGGTCAAAACTCTGCAGTGACATCATCTACCAGATTTAGTTTTTACTACCATTCCATACCTCTCCTGGATTTCTGAGTTATATGTCCTATCATTTATGGCCCTACATTTTATTCCTCAATTGGAAGTGAGAAACTAGAAGTGGTGGCTAGAAAAAAACCAGCCATTACATGGGATTTTAGTACCTCATTTCTGCAGGATACAATCTTTAATAATAAATGCTCAGCAGGAAAGAAAGCAATACACTGGCAGTAAGAACAAAATTGCCGCATGCTTCCACATGTTTTCTTGACCTCACTGATGTTCAATCATTGTAAAAGTCACACTCAGTCATCTCCTAGCTTCTGGATGTTTGCAGGTAGAAGAAAAATGTCACAATATCATGAAGCAGCAAAATCCTCCTTCTAACTTCTCAGTTCAAACAGATTTGTTTCTTGGTCAGTCACAGGCTTCCTAACTTCAATGCCTCGCTCCTTCTGCCCTGGTTCAGGAGTGATGCAGTAGGGAGTCAGGGAATGCCTCTCTACTCTGTAAAGGCTTGGAGACAGAGCACTTGCTCAGTCTCACCCAATTCGTGGGAAATGAGCACCATGTGGCCTCTAGGGAAGAAGGAACTGCAGTTCTCTACCCCCAGCTGTGTGTTCCCTTCATGAATTTCTGCAAACCTGGCTGCTCACTTTAGATGAGACATAGTTGCCTTGGTTGGCGGGCAGAGTGGCAAACAGGCTTCCGCTATATGCCAAGTCCAACTTGCTTAATAGGATCTGCCTGAAACTCTGTGTTAAGAAGAATGCTGAGGGAGGACTGGTAACACATGTATGACATCCTTGATTTTCATGACTTCGATGTTACCTACAAGAACAGTCTCCGATGATAACTCCATGACTAACAACGTAATGGAGTATTATTAGCTCATCTACTAATCCAAACAGAGCCAAATTTTTGATGGCACATAGCTATTCACAAATTGTAACACAACATTGGAAAAGATATGTAATGGCTAACATGCTTTACATGGAGGTTCTTTTAACTCTTACAAAAAGAATTTTTATAAATCCATACTTACAGGATCCCCTCCAGAGGCAAATGAAATAGACTGCATATGATGATTTGCAATAATCTGTAAAACATAAAAAAATTAAACATGTAAGATACTACAAATTAATTGTGCCTAGTTACATACAATCTAACAGTAATGGTCTTAAATTTTATGTTTTGTTTTGCTGGCTCGGCATTCCTTTGGAAATTACTCCATCCACATTCTATAATAATCTCATAAGTAGATTTGACATACCATCTCACCACCCCTCTCCTGGACACACGATTCAGGCCTAGGCCATCAGAAAACACCATCCCTCTGGATACAGCAAAGCCAATCAATATCATGGGGAGGAACTGAGACAGATAATAGGAAAAAATGCAGATCTCTCTGCCATTAAGAACCTTATTTAAGTCCAAAGCTTCTGGGAGCCATCTTTTGCTGCCATGTGGGAAAAGCCTGATGGAAAAATGAAGCTTTCTGATACTCTGGAGAGTATCAGAGCTGAGAGGTAAAAATATTAAAAAAAAATCTGGTGGTAACATTTGTTTCATCACTTCAACCAATACATTTCCCTCATCTCTGGTTTTTATGCATTTTTTCTGTTTTATTTATTTATTTTTATATAAGTTGGTTTGAACTGGGTTTAAGTCACTCACCACCAAAAGCACACTAAAGCACGAACATTAAGATTTTTAATATGACGTAGACTATCCAAGTGAACTGCATTAGTTAGCCAGGAAGACTACCTCTTTTACTTGAGGTCTTAGGCTTGCTTGTTTGGAAACCACAGTGTAATGACCACCTATAGAGAAGTATTTGCCATACTGTTTTGAAGGTTCATTAAAATACCAACTGTGCACCAATTGGCTAATTCTGTCTTCAGAATTGTTTAACATAATCTATACAAGAGTCTGCTTATATAACATAGCCAAGTAATTCTATTCTTAGATGTATATCCACAGAATTCTGTAAATACATGCACCAAAGATCTTCTCAAGAAAGATAATTACTGCCCTATTTGTAATAGCCACAAATGGGAAACAATCCCAATGATGATCACTGTGATATTTAAACAATGGACTACTATGTAGCAAAAAAAAACCCCAAAACAAACAAACAAAAAACCCCTTATTTTTTGGGCAAAAGAAGCCACATAGAAAGAATATATACTACATGGTTTAATTTATGTAAGGTCCCAAAACAGGCAAAAATATTTTATTCTGTTTGAAATCAGGATGGTGGTGCCAGTAGGGCAAAGAAAGAGAAAGCAAATGGTTGTCTGGAATCCTGAAAATGGTGTTTCTTGTTCTGGGTAGTGGTTACACAAATATGTCCATTTTGTGATAACCAAGCTGCACACGTAAGATTTGTGCACTTTTCTATATTTGTGTTTTCCATGTTTAGATTTCAGCTAAAAGTGATTACTAAAAATAAGTCAATATACAAACATGAATGTCTTTCCCACATATCAACAAATAGCCAATTAGACACTCTATTGTAGTGAGGGGTACATTTTACCTAAGTATAGTACCTAAATATAAAACTAAAAAGAATCATGTAAGGCTTTTTGGAAAACTTCATTGAAAGGTATAAATAAGACACAAACAAGCAGAAACATATATATTACTTTTATGGTTGAGAAGACAATATTGTAAAGATATCAATTCTCCCCCAAATTGATCTGTAAATTCCATGAAACTCCAATAAAAATTCCACCTATGTGATTTGGGTAACTTTTCAAGCTACTTCTAAAATTCACATGGAAGAACAAATCTGCAAGAAGAGCTAAGAAAATTTTTTAAAGAACAAAGAAACAAGATTTTCCTTGTTAGCAAGACATATTCTAACACTAGCAATTCGTTTGAATACAAAGTCTAAAAACAAACTCACACATTTGTTTTCTTTTAATCTATGATAAATGTGGCACCAAGCAGTTAACAAAAGGATAGTGATTAAACCAGTGAAGTTGGCTGAATAGCTGTATATGTGTAAAAAAACATATAAATGAATCCTGTCCCTTTAGTATTTATATAAATAAATGTTTTTTCCATTAAAAAATATCTATGCAGAGGTGCCTGGGTTTGTCTCAGGTCGTGATCTCACAGTTTGTGGGTTCGAGCCCCACATTGGGTTCTGTGCTGACAGCTCAGAGCCTGGAGCCTGCTTCAGATTCTGTATTATCTCCCTCTCTCTGCTCCTCCCCTGCTCACATTCTGTCTCTGTCTTTCTCTCCCTCTCTCAAAAATAAGCATTAAAAATTTTTTAACAACAATAACAAAATATATGCAAACATTGAAGAAAAATAAAGATCATGCCTGTGATCTTTGAAGTAGGAAAATCCATCTTAATAGAAAAAAAAACATACAGGGGAAAAAAAAAACCCTTCAATTTGATTTACATGAAAACTCATTTTAAAACTTGTGGTAGGAAAAAAAAATCCCTGAGACTGGACAAGTAACAACAGGCAGGGAGAATGTAGTAAAACATTGTAGTGAGGGGTACATTTTACCTAAGTATAGTACCTAAATATATTTGCAACATTTTGTAAAACAAAGCACCCGTGCAGTTTATAAGAAATTCCTACAAATCAATAAGAAAAAGAAATAGCAAAAATAAAACCAGTTAATTTTCATAAGTAACACAAATGTTCAATAAACAGTGAAAAACAATCAATCTCCAAGAAATCGAGGCTATGGAAAATAAAACAAGATATCACTACACTGATAAAATTGCTCAAGAAAACAATGTATGGCAAGGATATGGATATTCTCAAACACTGCTGATGAGAGCTGAAATTTGTACAGCAATCTTGGAAAGCAGTTTGATAGTATGTATTAAAACTAAAGTATGCATGCTCTATGATTCCACCTTTCCACTTCTGGGTTTTCATTCTATAGAAACATTGGCATATATGGATGTCATTTACCCATAGTTTATAACACCAAAAATTGGAAATTACTTATGCATAGTTAGGTCAGCTATAGAATAGCTACATAAATGGAATGCTATGGAAAAAAGACTCATCTATGTATCCTAACAAAGCTAAATCTTCAAGCCATTGCTGAGGTGCTTTTTGTTTTGTAACTTGAAGACAGTTCTGTGAGTCATGCAAAAAAACAAAAACAAAAAAAACCAAAACCAAAACCAAAAAGCCATACACACACAAGGCTTTTCCACGAGCACATAAAGATCTATATAAACGCAGAGGAAAAGAATTTAAAGAATACACACCAAGTTGATTATAGTGGAAAGTTAACCTCCTGTGAAAACAAATGGAACCAAGTACTTCTTCAGTATAACTTTTTAAAAAAGATAGTTATGCCAATTTATGAATTTAACTTTTTTCTTTATATGGGGAAACCAGAAGAGTTGAATGGGTCACTTCTCAGTTTGCTGAGAACACTGTGATTTGGAGGTGTGGACGTGGAAGTCGTAAGCGCATAGATGAAAGGACCTGGAAACCGTGGACCAGATGCTTTTGCCTGCGGCCGAGAAAAAGGAGCTGGAGAGAACGGAAAAGGGAAGGGGAGGAGGAGGCTTAAGCACAGCTACCGAGGCCACATTAAGGACTTTCCAGTTTACAGCATCATAATATGCGGAACAGTTAGGGAAAGCGGAGATTAAGTAACTCTCTACACCTAGAGTCCAGGTACGGAGTTCAAGCGAGCCGAGACGTAGACCAGGCTCGCGAAGAGTGGGCACCTCCCGCCCGAGGGGGACGCCGACCGGGAGGCGGTGTCTGGGGGTCGCGCACACGCACAGGGTCACGCAAGCGCACGGCGTTTGCGCACGCGCACAACCAGTCGGCCGCGTAGCTCCGATCGTGCAAAAACGCCGTTCGCGAGGTTGAGCTGCTTGTACGATGTCGGAAATGAACGAGCTGTCCGAGCTGTACGAAGAGAGCAATGACCAGCAGATGGATGTGATGCTTGGCGAGGGTGACCTTCCGCAGATGGAGGTAGGCAGCGGGAGCCGGGAGCCGTCCCCGAACGCCTCCCGCAGCGGGGCCCAGCCACAGCTCGAGGAGGAAGGCCCAATGGAGGAGGAGGCGGCCCAGCCAATGGCGGTGCCGCAGGGGCAACGAGGCCTTGCTACCCGGCCCAGCCCTGGGGAGCAGCCGGGCCTGATCGCGGGCCCCGACTTCGAGAGCGAGGACGAGGGCGAGGAATTTGACGACTGGGAGGACGACTACGATTATCCGGAAGAGGAGCAGCTGAGTGGTGCGGGCTACAGAGTATCAGCGGCCCTTGAAGAAGCCAACAAGATGTTTCTGAGAACATCCAGAGCTAGGGAAGCAGCCCTGGATGGCGGGTTTCAACTGCATTATGAGAAGACCCCGTTTGATCAGTTGGCTTTTATTGAAGAGCTTTTTTCACTTATGGTTGTCAATCGTCTGACCGAAGAACTCGGCTGTGATGAGATTATTGATAGAGAGTAATTAAATGCTGTTAAAAGAGGAGGAAAAGTTGAGGAGAGACCCAGCATTCCACTGTCTTTTGGGTTCATTCCAGATCGTACCGTGCCGATGAAAAGTTTGATCTTCAAAAAAAAAAGATTTTTGTCGTTGTTGTTTTGCAGAATAGAGTAGGGCAGTGACTCACAGTTACGAAAAAGAAAAGAATTGCTAAAGAAGAAGAAAAGGCATTAGGACCGTGGAAATCTGTTTTCAAGAACGTTCATGAGACACTTATGGCTTTGACTTTGTTATTGATCCAGATTGTTTTCCTCGCTTTGGGGAAAATATCTTTCATGTTTCACTGTAAGGGACGGTTTTGCAAGATTAAGTTAACATCAAGACAAACTGCCACCACAAGAGCCCGGTAATATTAATTACATGAGAAAAAGTAACGAATACATCCAGTTTAGGACACGAAATGTCTGAGTCATTTGGACTGAAAGCCCACTGAGAGAACTCTGACGATTCCACTTTGTGGTCTGTGGAAGCCAATTATCAAAGGCTAAATTTTTTAGTGTAAAATAAATGGGGTGTTCTTCAGTATCCGAAAAGGATAAGCAAACCCAAAAAGAAATAAGTATCACGTGTGCTGTCTCTCAAAATGTGCTTTCAAGAGCATCTGAAATTTTGTTTGTACGTGTATCTTGATGATTTATAAAGCTACTGTGATCCATAATTCCAGAAAATTTATTGTCTTACCATTTTTAAAACTCAAAAATTAAATGTCCGTAGCAAAATTTCAAACTTAGATATTAAAATATATGTGAAAGAACAAAACAAACTGTTTCTAACACCCTTATACTAGGGAAATTGTTTTACTCTCTCTCTCTGTTTTTCATTTAACTTTACAGGTGAAAGACTTTGGTTGAACTTCATAACATAAGAACTGCTAAAGGGAAAATGTCAAGTAAAAGGAAAGCCCTACATCTAAAAAAAAGACTGAACAATTAGGCCCTCAATCTGTAAAGGTTTTAAACCTGCCCAGAAATCCTCCTCAGGATCTGAAGTTTCTCTCTGTCTCCTCCTCTAATTAAGCTTGTTATTGGTTATGCACCAGCATTCGAGATAATAAAATTTCTTGTTCTGTGTATTTTGTTTGGCCTATAGTATTGTTCACATACTTTATCGAAATCCTTTTTATCGTATTGTTTTATTTTATTCCTGAAGCCACTTTATGATTTAAATTTAACCACTCTTTATATGGGAAAGTGCTCCAGCTTCAAATACCTTATTTATAAGTTAATTTGTGGATATTAATCTTGGTGAATTCCTATAAAAGAATTTGCCAGCCTGAGAAAACCTGTTGTATTCATGAGCATATTGCTGTGGTTATTAAGGTTCTGAAGTGGCATAAGACTAAAAATTTGTCAGAAGGTTGTGCCCAATAAACAGGACATCAGTAGGTCTTAAGATCAATAAAAAAGTACCAGATGTTCTTCTTCTTATGGCAGTAAAGGACATATCCAATACAACACAACTCAGCCTTATTTATGTTACAGTTGTCTTAGGGAGTGGGATTCTTTAAAATATTGGACTGAGGAGTGAGAGCATAAGCCCTTAGGCTAGGTAAGGAGACAGATAGATAGATGGGGAAACAATAGACAGGAGGTGGGATGTTAGCTCTTAACCCTCTTCATCCTGCCTCTCCCATGCCTCACTTTCACTGTATTTTCAAACAGCTTGTAGCTGCAGTTAGATGAATCTGGGTAGATAATTGCTTGTATGATGTGAATTAACTGAATTGGGGGGGGGGGGGGAGGGTGGAGGGAGGATGCCAGTACACCAGGAACTGACCAATTGCATTTCCCTCCAGATAAAGATGTCAGGAAATAGAAAAAACTGGTTCCATACCAGGAAGTGTGATTAGGTTCCTCTCTGAGACTAAGGAGGGAGCAAGAGGAAAAGAAAAGAAAACTGTTCCCTGTTGGGTTTGAAGGCTCATTTGAAGGATAAAGACTGGGCTCCACCACCGACTCCTCTGATAGTTGGGTTTGTTGGTCTTGGAAAAACAGGCAGTAATCTGAGCACTGGAATTAGTACTTGTTTGTATTAACTGAAGATAGAAAAACGGTAATATTTTAAACCCCTTTTAGAAGTGTGAAATCACCTGTATTTCTTTCAAAGGTTATAGTTAACACATACTGGAAACAGCCTACCTGGTTCAAATCTTGGTTAAATGGGAACTAAAGAAAGGAACTCTATAGAGATTCTGGTCCTCATTTTGTGAACAGGGGAGTGGGTGGGGATGTGGAATGGGGAGAGAGAACTTTAAAAAGCTTATGAGTATATAGGGTGATTTGGGGGTTAGTTTTCTGGACCTATCCATATATTATGTTATTATATAAAATTACATTATTAATGTTTGCTTAGATCAGACTGTCCCATTTGGCTGCCCTAAGGACACAGATTTATTGCGTTTGGCTCATGCTTAAAATTGCAATTCTTCATTAAAGACCAACAACTCATAATCCTGATAGAGCAACAAAACTCCCAGAGTTCCATCCTTTTTTTTTTTTTTTCCCAAAAGTTGAAGATCTGGCAGCCTTTGACCTACAGTTATGTGGGATGAAGCATCCAATTCCCTTTTCTATACGGAAGGTACTCTGTGGCCATGTTTCCCAGTATTATCTCCCTAACATGGAGGCCCAGTGACACCGTATATCATTATGCTTGCACCATTGTTTTTCCTCCACCTGGGCAGTTAGCATTGTCTGCCTGGCCTCTGTAAATATTTGAATTTCTCTCTCTTCATGGAGTCTAAAGGATATCTCCATTTTCTGTCTGTTTTACCTTCTTTATCTCTTTATTACTCTTCTCAGTAAAATTTCACTAGATGTTAGAGTTGGTGGTAGGAATGTAGAAATAACTAAAGAATAGTGGGAGTGGAAGCTAGTCAAATATTTTTGCTTAAGTCCTTAATATATTGAAGTATAGCAAGGAAGTCTGTGGCTTGAATTTTTAAAACGAGGGCTGTACAAAAATTCCCTAGAACTTGCTTTTCCAAAATGTATTTTCCATGCCAAAATATGGTAAGTTTTAAAAATTGCAAGCATTATGGGTTCAATGTAATTGTATTTTCTGCCTCTGAGGCTCTTTGAGACATTTTCTGGGAGTAAATGGTTATATTTTTGAAGTTGTTCTCAGTGGCTGAAGATGAATGTGAACCATGTGACCCATAAATGCTCTGTCATCCATGAATGTATCTATAAACTTTAACCTGTTTATATTTTCAGTCCAAAGTATATCTTAGAAGTTGGAGGGAGGGGAAGGGAGACATTAGTATTTCTTGGTATTTATCTTAGAACTTCAAAGGGTAACTTTCTTTACGGAGAATTGAGTTAATCGTTTTCTCATGATACATCTATAATGTCACTTCTCTGCTGCCTTCTCCCTTGAACATTTTAGTTGCCCTATTAATGGGATTTATAAAGCTTGAGTTGAAGCATCTATAGTGGCACATCTTTTTTATACACCCTCCCTCCACCAAGGCATTTCCTCTAGGCCTGCAGAATAGTTCAAAATTATTTTCAAAAACCAGGACCTGGGTGTAAGATCAGTGAGATCCTAACTTTAACCCCCACTCCAGCAGTGGGCTGAATACAACCTCATTCCATGCTACCAGTACAGAAAAGATGTCTCACTTCCAGAGGCACTCATTGCTGTAACTGCTGGTAGTGGAAGCCAACCATGCCCCTGTCCCTACTTCTATTCTGCCAGAAAGATTATGGGCATGTGACAGTACCCCTTCTAATTGCAGTAGCCTGAAAAAGGGTAGTAAAAGAGAGAAAGAAATGAGAATAAACTAAGTCACCTACCACACACCACAGCCCTATCCTTCCTAAATTCCCCATTGCTCAGTCACCCCATAGAACTATTTTTTTTTAATGCTCATTAGGTTCTGCACATAAGGCTGTCACCATGATGGCTGTAGATTTGCCTACTCTTCCTCCCCTACAAAATTCTGATATCTCAGAATTTCCAAGTGCTTCTATATTCAATGATATCTCATACCTAAAGGCATCAAGCACCCCTAGCACCACACACATAGGTGAAAACTAAAAGTAAAATTTACATCTACAAATGTCTTCAGGGCAAAGCATCTGAAAGACTGAATGATTGTTTCACCTTCCACCTAGATTTGTTGCATCTTCTGAGTACAGCCTCAAATGTTCTGCTGTCATTATACCAATGGTATCACCTGTCTTGGATAACCAATCAGGGCCCAACTCCACAGGAATCTATTTTGAACTATCTTATATTAAGTGGTTTATACTACTGTGTAAGCAACGTATTTTATTCTGCTTTTGAATTTAGAAAATAAAACAGACCTCAAAATACTCAAGAAAGTTCTTGGCAAAAACATTGGAGTAAAAAATGTATATAACTGTATGTGCATGTCACTGAAAATTTTGTAAATTTATGTTTTATAATATGATTTCCCTGTTAAGTACTGACTTTCTGAAAATGTCTCAAGAAAATGGGAAAAATGTTTGAGTAAATAATAATAGGTCCTGGGTGACCATTGCTGTGCTAAGTGGTTTACATCAATAATTTTACTTAATCCTGTATTTAATCCAGTGAGACATATACTATTGTTAACTCCATCCTCTCAGAAACTCTATGAATAGGTACTATAATCTCATTTCAATAATGAGGAAAATTGAGTGGTAACATAACTTGCTCATTAATGGAAAAGCCAGGATTTCAACCTATATGTGACCTCAAAGCCCCAGAGTGTTTGATCATAGCCAACTACACATTAAACCTTCCATTTAATGAACCTTCCTGTTCAATAGTAAAACCTTAAATATTAAGAATCTCGAATCACTACATATTAAACCAAGAAAAATTAGACTCTAACACACATAAATAACCCAATACAAGGAATTTAGTTTAAAACATAAAAAGCAAGTCAAAGAGTACCCTAGTGTAAGGTATACATTTAGCCCAATGCCTGTATATCTTTCGTATTTGCTTCAGCAATGCCATTCTTTGAGATATAAGGTTCACAATGAGAACTCAGGCACTGTGGCATCATACATCATCAAAGAAGAAGAAATTGTGTTTATGTAATAACATTTTACAAAGCATTTCAAGCTTAAGAGTTGGAAGAAAATGGTTTATGCTTTAATTTCAGTTAGCTAGAATATTAACCCTAACATTGCCCTTCCACTCTATCCTTCATTTGCACTCTATCCAACACACAGTCTGTTAGTTCTGATAATGGAATTGCTTTCCCTTTGGGGAGCATGGGCAGAGAGTAATAACTGACTCAAGAATATGAGTTGCCAAACTGTGTTTACCAGTTATTTGCACCTTAATTCCTATTACAAAGCCAATTAGGTAGATGCAAGTATGCAAGCAGTTAAATGCCAGGGATGAGTTAGTAATACTGTTGTTCTAATTATTGTTATGCATAAATCCTTGGTAGATTTTTTTCCCTTGTGCCTTACTAAATTTTAGGCACACGTCTGAAACTTTAGTTTCTTTATTATGCCCAGACCCTTCTAGAAAAATAGATGGCACGTTAAATGATAAATGACACCCATGATCTTACCTGTTGGTTGTCAATATTCATCAACGTGAGGCTGCATGTTGAGATGGTGAGCTTAATATTCATTCCCGAAAACTGAAGATTACTTTTGCCAAGAACTGTTGATAGGAACTTAACTGGAGGCTTGAAAAATAGCAAAACACTCTAAGTTAAGGATTTTGTTACAGCAGAATATTAATTTTTTAAGTGTTAAAACTGGATCAAAACACATACTCTTCCAATCTTACTTTACACAAATCAAATGAGATGGAATGCTTTATTTTAATAAAAACTTAAAAAAATGGAATGCAGCAGATTCTTTAGTAAGCAGTGAAATCTGAGCCCTCAGAACTTTTCTCATACATTCCCTTCTCTCTAAGTGTTGGGAGTATGGTCTGCTTTATATAAAAGGAATTCCTATGAGAGTTTGGGGTAGCTGAACTCTCCAGTCCTTCTGAAAACCAGAAGTCTAAAAAAGAAAAAGTTGCTAGAATTTTTTTGTGATAATTTATAAAAGTACAAAAACATGCATACCAAATATTTGGGACACAGTGAAAATGGTGCTAAGGGGGGCAATATATAACTATAAACTCTTACATTAAAAAAGAAGAAAGATCTCAAGTCAAGAACCTAACTTGACAACTGAAGCAATTCAAAAAAAGAAAAACCCAAAACTAGCAAAAGGGTATAATAAAGATTAGAGCAGAGATCAATGGCACAGAGACTAGAAAATAGGGAAAATCAATGAAACCAAAAGTTAGTTCTTCAAAAAGTTCAACCAAATTGACCAACCTTTAGCTAGATGGGCTAAGAAAAAAAGAAAGTAGAGTCACATCACTAAACTCAGGAACAAAAGTGGGGTGAGGATGTAACTACCAATTCAATGGAAACAAAGGATTATAAAAGAGTATTGTGAACAACTGCATATCAACAAAGTGGATTCCCTAAGATGAAATGGACAAATTCCTAGAAATATTAAACCTACTTAAGACTAAATCATGAAGAAATAGAAAATCTAGATAGACCTATAACTAGTAAAAGCCAAAAGCAAAGACAACAATAACAACAGACAAAAACAAGTGTTAGAAAGAATGTGGAGAAATTGAAATCCTTGTGCACTATTGGTAGGAATATACAACAGTACAATTGTTACGGAAAACAGGATGGCAGTTCCCAATTCCTCAAAAACTAATAATAGAATTACTACATGATCTAGCAATTCTGCTTCTTGTCATACACCCAAAAGAACTGAAAGCAGGGACTTGAACAGGTATTGGTGTATCCATACGCATAACAGTGTTATTCACAATAGCTACAACATGCAAAAAACTTAAGTATCCATCAACAGATGAATGGATTAGCAAAATGTGGTACATACATACAATGGAAAATTATGCAGCCTTAAAAAGGGAGGAAATTCAGACACATGGTATAGTATGGATGAATCTTGAGGACATTACATGAAGTGAAATAATCCAGTCACAAAAAGACAAATACGTATGAGTCCACTTATATGAGGTACTTAGAATAGTCAACCTCATAGAGGTATAAAGTAGAATGGTGGCTGTCAGGGCTGGAGAAGTGGGGGAATAGGAAGTCATTGTTTAATGTGTATAGAGTTTCAGTTCTAGAAGATGGAAAGAGTTATGGGGATGGATGGGAGTAATGGTAACACAACAATGTGAATGTATGGATTATCACTGAGCTGTATATTTAAAAATAGTTAAAATGGTAAATTTTATGTTATGAATATTTTACCAAGATTTTTAAACTGAGAGGAAAAAGATTATAAAAATATATAGAACAGTCCCTGGCATGTATTAAGTATGCCATAAGTGATAGCTATCAAAGGAAATTAACTCAAGATTTTTGTGTTCTTTCCATGTGTACTTTCTGAAAACATAATAGCCTGGTTTGTTTTATTTTGTTTTGGGGTGTAGACTCCCTATTTTTGAAATGAGAAAATCTGGCTGTTTTTTGGGATCATGCAACAAAAGCATCCTATTTGCAGAGGTTATGAGAGGCAGGAGGAGGCCAGAGGCTACTTTGGGGCCATGGGTTTTGTCAAAGTAACTAGTAATAGGGAGTTCAAAGGCCACTTATTCGTGTTTCCCATGCCATGTGGCTCATCTGAGTCACTCTGGGTGACAGTGGGTTCAGCCTATGCAAAATAATGAAGAATAATAAGGAATGAGGCAGAGGGGTATGGAAATAAAGCACTAAGATGGAAATATGAAGATGTGGCTTCTATAGCTGGCTCTAACCATCACCCTAGTGACTCAAGACAAATCTCTTCTCTGAGACAGTTTAGCAGGTGGCAAAGTGGGAGGGTTGGACTGGAAGATCTCTAAACATTCCTTCTCTCTTAAACAGTCTACAATTCTATGATTTATATAGTTATCTTAAGAACCTTTGCACCTCCACTTTGACATCCTAAAACAACTAAATGTTCTGGGTTCACAATTAAATGCAGTACTTCTAGATTTCATTACTGTTGAAAGCCTAACGTATGCCAGACCTGTGTAGACATCATTTTATTTAATTCTACACGACTCGATCAAGTAAGTGCAATTTTCTTCCATTTTATAGATGAGGGAACCAGTGATCCAAAAGGTGAAGTGACTTGTCCAAGATCACATAGTAGGTGGCAGAGGCAGGATTTAAGTCTACTTAACATCAAATCTTATGCTTTCTTTCAGCATGAAAATCTCCTTCTACTCATGCATTATTATCTCACCTCTACCAGCACCCACATTGCCATCTGAAAATAGGCCAAGGAATCTAAAAATTCTGAAATGTTAAGATGCAGAATAGATACATTATAAAGTACTGAAATTGGAGGTGCCAAACTGGTCATCCAGTTGAACTTCACTTTACAGGAATAAGAATGGGGCCTCAGAGAGATGAGATAATATGCTCAAAGGTAAGTAAACACCCAGGCGTGGCACCCAGAATTTTTGACTTGAAATCCAGGTGCTTTCTTCATTCTGTCACTCCAGGCATCACCATTTCAGATAGTGTCAGTCACGTCAGAAAAACTTGATAGACAAGAACAACTTTCGGCTCATCTCTGATATCAAGCCAACTGATCAAGGCCATTTTGGACTTAGCTCATATAGTAGACTGAACTGACTACTATTGTGACATTCTCTTTCCCATAGTTAGGGAAACATACAGCAAGGAAACCACACCAATATTTACCTTTCGCTTTTTAATGGCTCCATTTGCCCCAGAGACAGCTTCACACAGGCGACTTATTGCTTCCCTACAGAACAGAAACCATATAAAGACTTAGCACACTATCTAACATGCAGTAAATCCTCAATAAATGTTAGCAACTATTATGAACAAAATCTGCGCACACGTAACGGTGAATCTGACACAAATGACTTTCTCCTACTCCTACCGTAATGCTGAAAAAAAAAATCACTTTACAATCCTACTATTTACTTTCTTCATCTCTTTTTTCCTTGGCTTTTCAGATTTGGTTTTTAGCAATGTTGATTTTTAACCAAAAAAGAGGGGCGGGGGAGATGTCTGGGGATACTTCACAGTTTTACTTTTAGCAAAATCCTCTCTGTGATGTTCTGAATAAAAAGCTTCCTAGTATCTCAGCACCAAAGACAATTAAATACAAAAGAATCTGACACGAGAGGAAGTTTAAAAGGACTGGGAGAGAACTGAACTTCAAGGTGGTCTCAAATGGAGCCTTATTGACTGAGATACTGCTACAAGCCATTGAGCTTTCAAGTAATTTCTCAGAAGAAATGAAAATCAATAACAAATTTCCTCCTTTGCTTTTTTCCCCTTACTCTATATTGCATTCTGTGAGAGAAAGGCACCGCTAAAATACGTAGTTGTTCCTTAATGGAAGTGGTGAACAACCTGGCGCCCTCCTCTCCAGAAATGCAGTTAGAACTAAGAGCTTTTGTCTCTGGAACTCAGCATTCCTAACAGCCTGAGCTTTCACTCAGTGTAATCTGAACCATAACCTCGTATCTTTCAACACATATATTAAACTTTTCACAAAGCACATCTCTAAGCTGTTTCCTGGGTTCACCGGAAATCATTGTTTAAATTAGTTAACTGTATTAGTACATACACACACATATAAGCACCTGCAGCATTGTATTACAGTTGTTATACATCTTTCCTGAAAATATATATTTTTTGAGATATCTCTGATTCCTAAAGGAGAGGTGAAAACTTAGAGGAATGCAGACCCATTAAAGAAATCTACCTCCCTCTCTATCTAGAGAGATATATAGATATGGACACAAGCAGACATATAGATATAGATATAGTAGCATAGATCTACGTCCTCAGTGTTCTTCTGGTAGACACACTGGAAAAATAAGAAGAATTCCCAGAGACTCTAGGCATTGTTTTGGGTTTATAATGTGTATTTTAGTTCAGATTTCTTTTTTTATTTTTTTCTGGATAAATGAAACTCTTCTCCAAAGTATTCTCTTGTCTGATTTTTGCATAATTACCTGCAAACAATATATAGAATGGCTTTTTGGTTTAGCACATTTTCTCAGGATTTTATATCTATGGTTTCTGTAGGATTCCAATCTTTGTTCTCTGGTTGAAATAGAAAGACCACTCAGAGAGTTAGGCTCTTTTGTTTGTTTGGTTGATTGATGTTTGAGTCACCTTAATGATTTTTCAATCACTGATGAGACACATAATAATTAATCTGAACTGGCCTCTGGTGTTGCCAAAATAATATGTCCAGGCACCTATATTGTTGATATTTAATAAAGGGAGATTATTTTTAAAAAAGGTATCAGATCCTTTATTCCATGAGAGCCAAATGAGATGCTTTGGTCTAAAAAGCTCCTTGTAAATGGTTTGAAATAAAAGTAGAGACAAAGGTGAACATTGATGCTGCCATGTATAACAACAGTTTTATTAGCAGTTGTTACTTTTATGTAGCACCTTGTAGTTTTACAAAGTGCTTTCCCAGACATTGTTTTCTTGATTCTCGTACAGTTGATATTGTCTAACAAAAAGTAAAGCTCTAAACGAGAATTAAAGGGAAAGCTTTGTAGCATGAGTACCTCTCAAGGACAGTTTGGAAGGATGAACCTTCCTGGCAGAATGGAGTTTGGAAATTCCAGAAAGGGAAGAGCATGTATAACGGCACGAAAATATGAATATCATGACATGGGGGAAACTACAAGTACTTTGATACTGCTGGAGCATAGAGTGTGGAAAAACAAGAGTGAATAAGAGCTGAGAGATGGGATTAGAGTCTGAAAACTTTTTCTGTAAAGGGTCAAATGATAAATATTTTAGACTTTTCTCTGTTACAACTACTCAACTCTGCATTATAACTCAAAACCAGTGGGAGACAACATGTAAACAAATGAGCATGGCTATGTTCCAATAAAACTATTTCTAAAAGCAGGTAGCTAGCTATATTTAGCCCAAAGGCCATAGTGTGTCAACCCCCGGATTAGATAATTCATACAAAAGAGATAAGAATAGTTCAATTTTTAAAAATTGGAAAATGTTCACATTCATTACAACTTTAAGATGGAAAATTAAAACGACTACAAGATACTCACTTCACTGTCATTAAGCCAGCAAAAAAGAAAATGACAAATGCACTCTTGGGGAAGACGGGGAAAATTCCACTTCAAGCACACTTATCCATTGCTGGGGACCCTGATTAGTATGAATATGATCTTTCTAGAGAGTGATTTGGTAAAAGACAATAAATCTCTTAATATTTATCAGAGCTTTTGACAAGGGTAGGAGAATTTGTATTGAAATAGCATTGAGTATATATGTAGAATAGATATTTATTTTAGGGTAAAAACCAACTCCATAGCTTATGATACAGAATTTATCAATATAAATGTTCCCACTTGCCCTGTTAGTATGAACACTATAGAAATAAGGGGAGTCTATATAAATTAGTGGGACAACAGTAGAACTTGGAATGGCAAATACACATTGGTAGCTACAGAAAATTAATTCTATCTAAATAGTGATATAGAAAGAGCTTATAAACAATGACTTGGTTTAGGTGGGGTTTCTTTTTGTGTATGTGGTTTGTTGTTTCCTATTTTTATTCTACTGATATTTAGATGTCAACAATATAAACAATGGTATGTTTTCCCTTCACTGTGCTTTTAAAATATTAAAATATTTTAATAAATATATAAGTATATATTTAAATATTTAATATTTTAAAGCTTTTAAAATATTAAAAGAATGCAAAGTAAGTTCCTCAGCAGGAGTTTTGCTCATCCGTTGTGAACATGTGAGGGCACGTCAAAGATGTCCCAATGAAGGGGTGCCTGCATGGCTCAGTTGGTTGTGCATTTGACTTTGGCTCAGGTAATGATCTCACTGCTTGTGAGTTTGAGCCTCATGTTTGGCTCTGTGCCGACAGCTTAACGCCTGGAACTTTCTTTGGATTCTATGTTTCTGTCTCTCTCTGCCTCTCCCCTGCTTGAGATCTCTCTTTCTCTCTCAAAAATTAATAAACATTTTAAAAAGTTTTTAAAAAGATTTCCCGGGGGCGCCTGGGTGGCTTAGTCGGTTAAGCGTCCGACTTTCGCTTAGGTCATGATCTCGCGATTCGTGGGTTCGAGCCCCGCGTCGGGCTCTGTGCTGACTGCCAGCTCAGAGCCTGGAGCCTGTTTCAGTCTGTGACTCCCTCTCTCTCTGACCCTCCCCTGCTCACGCTGTTTCTCTCTCTCTCTCCTAGAAATAAATAAAAATATATTTAAAAAAAAAAAAAAAGATGTCCCAGTGAAGAGGCGACACAGGCTGTCTCTCTTTTGCCAACACCCACAAAGAGATGGGTCAATGTTCATGTTAAAGATAAATAAAAGATCTTTATTTGCATCTCTGTCCCATCCCAGATTAACTGTAACTTCTCCATCTTTATGATTGCTAAATCCAGATTTATTTTTTCAGTTTATTTGGTAGATTTCCTTATTTCCATTCCCCAGAGTTTTATAAAGAAGAAAAATCATGGCCAGGTTTAGCAATGCTTTTACAATAGAAATCCCTACCTTTACAATGATACACAATGCCATCTCAGGGAGCCTGGGTTTTAATGAAGGAACATCTCATTATGTATACGGCCAGGCACAGTATTAAGTACCTTCTGTACATCATCTCATTTCTTCTTAACGATGTCATATCAAGATAGCTATTTTATACCCACCTTACAAATGAGGAAACAAAAGTGCAAAGAATTTAAGTAACTGCTTCTGAATAATGCAGCTGAGCACGGGAGAGGCAGAATACAAAGCCAGGTCTGAATTCAAAACCTACACTCCTTCGGGGAGTAACCATACTTCCAGGTGCATGAAAAGGAGGGAGTTCCACACTTCCAGGACCAGGAAAAGAATATTGGTCCTTCCCTTGCTCACTCCCCTGACATAGTGAGGGGGCCTTTTCCAGCCAATCCTTATTCCAATGTGCCTGGGGTAAACTAGCAAAGGACAGGAACAAAGTGGCAACGGTCAATTCCAGAAAAAGCCAAAATGGATGACTCTAGCCCTTCCCCAGCCATTGCTTTCTATGCATTGGCTGTTATCATGGAAGAAAAGAGCAGAACCCAGCTGTGTGCCCATATAGGCAAGCACGCTCATGTATGCATGAGCACACTCACTTAGAATTATAAGTCAGGTGCGCTACAAAGAAAGAAAAGCACAGGCCAATATCCCTGATGAACATAGATGCAAAAATCCTCAACAACATATTAGCAAACCAAATTCAACAATACATTTAAAGGATCATATATCACAATCAAGTGAGATTTAGTCCAGGATGTAAAGATGGCTCAACATCTGCAAATCAACCAATGTGATACTCCACATTAACAAAATGAAGGAAAGAAATCATATGGTCTTCTCAATGGATGTAGAAAAAGCATTTTACAAGATTCAACATCCATTTATGATTTTAAAAAACTGTCAACAAATCGGGGATAGAGAGAACATACCTCAACATAACAAAGGCCAATGACAAATCCACAGATATTATCATACTCAATGGTGGAGAGCTGAAAACTTTTCCTCTAAGATCAGGAATAGGATTAGGATGCCTACTCTCTCCACTTTTGTTCAACATAGTACTGGAAGTCCTAGCCAGAGCAATTAGGCAAAAATTAATATAAAAGAAGTAAAAGACATCTAAACTGGAAAGGAAGAAGTAAAACCATCACTATTTACCAATGACATAAATTATATATAGAAAACCCTAAAGACTCTACCATAAACTGTTAGGACTAATAAG